CTCCTTTTATTAAAATTGTCATTATTGTAATAATAGTGATATTAATTATTTGGTATATATATAGGAATATTTTTCACCCACTCCCACTTTCTCGTTCTTTGAACTCGAAGCCAGATTATAGCCACCGTATAACCGGCTCTGACAATTTGTTTTCTGGAATATACTCACAGAGTGAGGGCACTAATGTGCCTAAACTGACCATGAACGAACAAAGTGAAGTGAATTATTGGGAGGAAGAAATTTTTTATTCAGTTTATAGAAATTGTAGTTATGGATTCCCAGGAAACAGTGCTTCGAGTTCCCAACTCATCTGATATACAAAAAAAATCAAAAGAAAGAACTATTGCAGAACAAGCCCAAAGGGCAAATCAAGGATCATAGCTCATTGAGCTTATTTTCAAAGAAAATGAGTTTCACTCTACCACCTATGAAACTTTATCTTATAGATATGGATAAAGCTAATAAACATGAATCAATTCGAAATGTTGGACATCTAGCAATGTCATGGCCCTTCAGTAAGGTAGTTAGTGGTAAGAGTGGTACAGGTAAACTAATATATTTGGAAATATTTTTGTTGGTGACAAAGGTGAATGTATATATAAAAAAAAAATGGTAGATCCCGCTATATACAATGTGATGATTTGATAGTTTGTAGATATCACCCAGATGAATCTAAATAGGCATTTGTTAGATATATGTATGGAGTAATTGCAAGTGATCCAAGAGCACTATACTATGAAAATATTAGATTTAAATATATCTCACCTGAAAAAATTCTTAGCATAAAGTCATTTTCACCTGAGAGAAGTACTGTAATTGTTTTTGAGGATTTATGTATTGCTCCAGAGACAATACAAAATCAAATTATTCCATTCTTTACACATGGACATCATCGTAATATAAGTCCAATATATGTAACACAAAAATATCATCATATCCCAGAAATTATTCATAAGAATTTATCCCATCTAGTAATATTTAACGGGGGCAGTAGTTATCAAGATGTGTCCAAAATAATTGGACAATATACTGATGATGTTAAGAATGCATTAATGGTTATTAACAGCTACTTACACAAAGGCGAATTTATTGTATTTGATTTAGATAGACCAGAAGATGATCCACTAGCAATTCGTTTAAGATTTGACACTCTATTAAA